GTGCCCCTGTACGAGTCCGCCGTCGCTCCCCACACGCTAACCACGAGATACACGCATGGGCGAGCGCAAACATGTGGGTAAATAACAACCGCCATTCACCACTAAGTGGCGGTGACGTCACCACGACGCTTGTGCCAGGCCACACACGCACAACACACAGGGTACAACGACGCACACCAACTTGCATCCGTTCCACCCTCGCAGAAACCACACGACAAGGTTTATTGATCCCCAACAGTTTATTCTCAGCGAGTCCGAGGCTAAATTATCCGAGTCAGTTTGAGTCAGCAGGGCAGGTCTAACCTATCTCCCGATGGCCTAAGACCCAATATGTATCGCCTCTTTCAAATCACTCTCCTAAGACAATCTCACAATGGCCTCAATATCTCACTCTCGGGTACTCACGGTTCGACTCGTACGGAGCTGCTGGGTCGGATCCTCGTTGCACTTCGACTCGTCACACGGACGTTCGAGTGGCTGGGAAGTCGACGGCCCCGAGCCTGGCTTGAAAACAATACGAACCAACTCTCCCTACCTTCTCTACCCTATATTGTCCTCTACATCAAAGATAAATTGGCGCTGATCCGCTGGCCTCCCGTCCAATCAGGTGGCTCAGGTTTCCCGCCACTCTCCCCGGACCGGTGCTCTCTCAGACGTCCGCTTTTCACCCTCTAAACAAGTGCATCTGTCCTACCAATCAGAGGACCGGCCCTGTTTTTTCCGCCGTTTATGACTCCGTCCCCCCCTACCTGCCTGCTGACCCGTGTGTGTTGTGGGTGTTTTCTATCCGCGGTGGCTCAGCAGGCCCGTCGTGACCACGTGATTACAACCCAAGTCACGGCGCCGCAGTGCGAGTTAGCCTCGGGGGAGGTCGCCCAATTCCCTGGTCGCAGGAAACCGTGAAGTTTGGTCCCATGAGAGGGCTTCTGGGTGAAAACCTGTCGGCCAGGTGACCTCCCCTTGGGGCTCTATGTGGGGGTGTGTGTGTCTGTTCATGTGGGGGGTGGTGAGGGAAGAGCAGCGTCGGCACCGTCGCTCGGAGGTGGCGGCGTCGCGGCCACGGAGTCGGCATTACGGCTTCGCTGCTGCGGCATCACAGTGGCAGGCACGGCTCCGACGGAGCGGCTTCGCTGCTGTGGCACCACAGTTGAACCTAGAATTGATTAAACAAGGTTTGCATGCTATTCGCTAACTATATTTGCACTTACGATGAAACACGGTAGGTTACGTATGGTGCGAAAGAAGTTCAACATACATACATACATTATTTTGTCCATGATTCTGTGACCAGCTATCATGGATTACAAGAGTTTGTATGTTGCACGATTATGAAAATGTGACCTCATGTCTTTGACAATTGGAGGCCAAGGGCACAACACCCAGCTCGCTATTTGTGACAACCGCAGTGACTTTTCACGAGTTTGAGCAGAGTAGCCAAGCAGCGGTGGGTACACTGCTGGTGCTGCACGTGTCTGCTGCCCGTGACCCAGCGCTGTGGAGGCAGCAGCAGCAGCGGGGGCTGGTGGATCGCCGCACAGACGGTGTTGTGAAACTCCCTTCTGCCCGTGGGTGTCGAGAAGATGCCCATTCCATGATTCACTGTGAAAAGCCGGTACGGCAAAATGTGAACTAACATCATCTGTCCTATCTGTATGGGATATAGTGTTGCCCCCTCGCACATGCGGGTTTTCTCCGAGCACCCCGGCTTGCCCCACACGCATAAATGCTCATGAATTGCCTGAAACCATCTTAGGCTATGCATCTCCGTGTTTGCGGATTGAGCAGTGCTGTTTGATGCAGTTATTGTAAATGATGCTACTGCATACAAACTCAGTAGTTTGTATCGCCAAAGCAACTGGAGGATAACCATCTCACTTTTTTTATTTTTGCGTATGATGGCAGCAGAAATATCTTGAGCTATGTGCCAATGTCGAAGTCCGCTGGCCACGACGAGAGGGCTTCTTTGTTGCATAACAACAATACCTCGCTTACATTCACGAAAAGTAGAGTATGCAAATGAAATGTTCCATTTGGATCGTGAAATGAAAATTGTACAACCGAGATGCATAGAAATGGGAATCAAAACTAAGAATTGCGTAAAAAGGAAACAAGAAATTTGTAGAATGATTCGCGCCCCGGAATCTTGAACATTTATTCTGTCATAGTCCTGCGTATGGTAGTGAGTTGTTCAGGAGCTAGTTGCCAATGTCGATGAGAGGGCTTCAGTACAGAGTCCGTGTCGTTTTGCTGTTCCTCCTCCGTTGAAGGAGCGCAGACTCTACAGTGGTTGACTGTACGGTGCATTGTTTGGGTTGCATGGCTACAGTCGCACCTCCTGTGTCTTGGCTTTCATTTTCCATTCATGAAGGAGATGTACGCACATCGACCTGCCCATGTTCTGATGCGGTTGATGGTTTCCGCCAGTTTCTTCGAGGAGCGTTTTGCTTTTCCCACAGCCTCAACACGAGGCGCGCTCAGGCGAATGATCGCGCGATTCGATGTTCCATGTTCCAAACGTATCAAATTATCTGGCGTTTCATGACATTGCAATTGTTATTGCAATCTCAGGTCTAAATTTCACTAATGCGGACATCAAGAGCATGTTTTATTGAGTCATGATAAAAGTTATTTTGGGTTAGAGCGCGTAAGATATGTTCTTTGAGTCTTTCGGTAAAGTCACGTAGATAGCAAGAATAATAAAAAAAATCACGACGTTTCGATCGCAACACAAGCGGTCATCATCAGGAAAAGTGGGGTTAGCATCTAAAGACGACTGCTAAGAAAGGTTTGAAATGGGCGTAGCCCAAATGTGAGCAGCCAATGCCAAAACAAGTGGTGGGTAGCGACCGCGGCGGTGGTGGGCTTTCCACCAATCACAGGGCGGCCAGGCAGAAATGAGCATGTCAATGCAAGATCGCCGAGCATCCTCCACGGCAAGTGCGCCAAGGTGGCTATGTTAATGTGAGAGATCAGCATGTTAACGGAAGATCGTGAAGCAGCAGCCTCGAGGATGGCGCGCGAGGTAGCTGTGTAAGTGAGAAATTTAATCTGTCAATGTAACAAATCAGAGAGCCGAAAATAACAACTAACATCGGAAGGTGGTAGACTGGGAACATCACAGCCCGTTATGACTTAAGTCATCTGACTTCGTGATATTTTTATTATTTTTTCTATCTACGTGACTTTACCAAAAGACCCAAAGAATATGAATTCCTGCAGTCACGAAAGCTTTAAGTCAAGATTTAAGTATAAATTTGTCATTAACCCACCACAACCCGACACAGCCAACCAGTAAGATTTGTCACGTAAACAGAAAGTGGCAATTAGGTACTACTTCAACACACCGGTGTATTGGCGAGTAATCCCACAACTCGCTGGTTCTTTCGGTAAAGTCACGTCCACGCAACGCTCCCCTCCCCCTACCCTCCCTTACCCCCTCCCCCCTCTCTTTCCTATAAAACCTCTTACCACGGCATCTCTCTCCCACTTTAGCAAAAAACATCTTTCTTGCTGTGGTTTCCCACCTGATGATGATTGCTTGTGTCGCAATCGAAACGTCGTGATTTAATTTTATTTTATACCTACGTGACTTTACCGAAAGAACCGGAGCGTATGGATTCCTGCAGTCACAAAAGCTTCAAATCAAGAGTAAACCCACAACATTTAAAACCAGCCTTCTGCTCGTCCAAGGACGTGTGTATTGCAGTAAGTCTGAAACTTGCAAGCGAAAAGCAGTCCGCGACTTGATATATTCATTGCATCAATTCGTGTGCAATTAGTAAGGCCGCGGTGACACAGAGCTATTTCATGTAAAGGTTATAATCCCTTGTTCATCACGACGTCCTTTTTACTTTGATGTCTCAACAACAGCGTTACAGAGATCACGTGACCTGAGGGTTCTGCCTTTGTAGTGAGGGTTGTGAGTTGACGCCGAGGAGGGGGGAGGAGGTGCCCCGCCCCCCATGTGGAGTGACGTCAGCCGCTAATTAATATTAATGGTAGAGGAGTGTCTACTTGGAAGACGTCACCTGCTCATGATTATTAATGAGGGGGGCTGTTCGATGTGGAGTGACGTCACCTGATCATGATTATTAATGAGGGGGGAAGGTTCTCCATGCGGATTGACGTCACCCGCTCATGATTATTAATGAGGAGGGCTGGTCGACGTGGAGTGACGTCACGGGCGGGACCCAGACATTCTTGGCTCAGTAGTTAATTTATATTTACGCGACCTAACCCAAAATAACTTTTATAATGAATAATATTGCTCGCGAAAGCCTACGTGTTAAAGTATATTATGGAGTTAACATTAGTAGGTGTTGGTCACGCCCGAGGAACCTGTATGACTACCTACAGACTGACTCAATCTCGTGGCTATTTGCGCTTATTAACACGAACTAAATGATGCAACTGAATACAATGATCCTCGCCTTGCGATTGGCAGAGCCGCCTTCTTGTGGCCCCACCCCTCGGCCGGTGGCGCGCGCTCGTCTCTGCTCTCGCGCCTCTGATTGGCAGAAGCCGAGGGACGGCTCCGCCCCCCACCACCGTGACCAATGGACGCGCGCGTTGGCCCTTGCGTGATGGGGGGTGGGGAGGAGCGCGGCGCTGCTGCTGCTGGACGCGCGCACCTGGACACGGGCAGCAGGGGAGGAGGAGGAGGTCGCTGCTGCTCCTACTGCTACATCTGATCCTACTGCTACAGCTGCTCCTACAGCTGCTGCTACAGCTGCTGCCCCGCGTGTTGGCTCCAGGACTCGGGGAGTGTTTTGCTCAGCTCCTGGGGCTTTCATAGGGGGGGTTTATCCCTGCAGCAGCAGCAGCGCGACATGAACTTGCAGCCGAGGCCTAGCGCGGAGGCGAGGCGCGGGGGTGACGCCGCTCGCCTAGCGGGCCCGCCGCGCGGGGCGGCTGCCGCTCGTTAGGGCAGCGCCGAGCCGCCCGGGGTGCTGCTGCTGCTGTGGTGGTGGTGTCGGGGGTGAGGAGGGGGGTGGGGGACACGCGGCGGTGCTAGGGTCGCAGTGCGTGGCCGAGGGGAACGGGGAGGCACCGCGGAGTGGAGCGGCGAGAGAGGAGACGCGGCCACGGGGTAGACGGAGCCGCGAGCGAGCGCGCGAGCGCGTGGTGGCGGTGAGTGCGGAGTCGTCCCAACCCGAAGGGGGCGAGCCGGAGAAGTGAGCTCCTCCCGGGGAGAGGCGAGCCGGGCAGATTGAGGTAAGCCCTGCTCATGGCTGGGCGCTTCCTCGTGAGACAGCACCCCGCGTGAGACAGCACCCCGCGTGAGACAGCGTGAGACAGCACCCCGCGTGAGACAGCACCCCGCGTGAGACAGCGTGAGACATCACCCCGCGTGAGACAACACCCCGCGTGAGACAGCACCCCGCGTGGGACATCGTGAGACAGCGTGAGACAGCACCCCGCGTGAGACAGCACCCCGCGTGAGACAGCGTGAGACATCACCCCGCGTGAGACAACACCCCGCGTGAGACAGCACCCCGCGTGGGACAGCACCCCGCGTGAGACAACGTGAGACAACACCCCGCGTGAGACAGCGTGAGACAGCACCCCGCGTGAGACAGCACCCCGCGTGAGACATCACCCCGCGTGAGACAACGTGAGACATCACCCCGCGTGAGACAACGTGAGACAACACCCCGCGTGAGACAACGTGAGACAGCACCCCGCGTGAGACAACGTGAGACAACACCCCGCGTGAGACAACGTGAGACATCACCCCGCGTGAGACAGCACCCCACGTGAGACAGCACCCCGCGTGAGACAACGTGAGACAGCACCCCACGTGAGACAGCGTGAGACATCACCTCGCGTGAGACAGCACCCCGCGTGAGACAACACCCCGCGTGCGTCGCCTTGCAGAGAGAGAGGGGCCGGTGGAGCAGCGGGGCCCAGAGTCCCGGGCCTCTCGCCGGCGCCGCGGCTTCTTGCCGAGAGAGGCGAGGGGGTGGTGGGTGGTGGTGGGGGGTCGTCATGCTGCCCGGCGTGGGGGTGTTCGGCACGGGGCTCACGGCCCGCGTGCTCGTGCCGCTTCTGCGCGCCGAGGGCTTCAGCGTGGAGGCGCTGTGGGGCCGCACGCGCGACGAGGCCGAGCAGCTGGCGGCCGAGATGCGAATCCCCTTCTCCAGCAGCAGCATGGACGACGTGCTGCTCCACCATCTCGTGGACCTCGTGTGCATCTTCATCCCGCCGGCGCTCACCCGCCAGATCGCCGTCAAGACCCTGGGTGAGCAGCGGGGACTTTGGCGGCGGCGGCGGCGGCCGGGGCGGCGGGGGCATCTCTCCGTTTGTGGCCCGGCGCAGTTGCACCGCCTGCGCATTCAAGTAGCTGCATTGTCTTGGTGCTGTTCGCCTGTGTGGCGCTGCCCTCTGGTCTAACACTGCCTTTGAATGGAGGCTTTAAAGAAAGCCGTCTCTGGTGTGGAACAATCAGTTTCAAAAACAATGCATCATCTCGTACTACCAGAGCGTGTTGTTTGTTTGCATGTTCACCGCAAATGTGTGGGTAATGCGGACAGGATTCCTTGCAGTTTGGTATTTTAACATCTTAACACAACTGTGTTATTGCCAGAATGGGTAAAGCGTTCTCTGGAAACGTCGGCGGCTGATAGACGCGGGCACCTCCCATTCACACGCTTGGCTACGCACGGTGCGAAAGAAGTTCAACACACTGTACATGCATACACACTATACATGCATGCACATACATTCGGCCGCAGGCATCCTGTCGGCTGGCTATCAATGAGGGCGCCACGTGGGCTAGGAGATGTTATCTCCCTCGCCTAGCATACAGAAGGTCGTGGTTTCGGTCCCGATCCTCACGCCTGCTGTATATTTGGAGTTTGCGTGTCTCGCTCTCTCATCATCATCATCACGGTGGCCAGGAGATGTTGACTACCTCGCCTGGTATAAAGGAGGTCGTGGGTTTGAACCCGACCCTGATGCCTGCTGCTGTATATTTGGAGTTTGCGTGTCTCGCTCTCATCATCATCATCATCACAGTGGCCAGGAGATGTTGACTACCTCGCCTGGTATAAAGGAGGTCGTGGGTTCGATCCCTACCCTGACGCTTGCTGCTCTAGATTTGGAGTTTGCATGTTGCCTCTCTTTCTCTCCCCGTGGTCGCGTGGATTTTTATCCGGGTCCGTTTGTTCCCTCCACATTTAGAATCGACACGTGTTAGGAGAATGCGGCTGCTATAATTGTCCACATTTATAGCTCGTGATTTGTTGTCATAGCCCCGACGACCACTAACTCAGTGCGCCTTACCTGGTAAAATAAAAAAAAATGTTTAGTTTGCTTTAGTTTTAATTGTCCATCATTGTCAATTATATAACAGGGGCACGATGTGAAGATCGTTGTTTTTCCAGCAGCTCTACTGATTTATCAGCGAGCATCACCATCGTCATTGTCAGCTTGGTTCTTCATCAGATCATCACCACCATAGCCTTGCCAACAAGAGTATACCAGCGGTCATTGGCAGCGGTCCTGTCAGAATCAATATGATATTTAAAGCCACCGTCAACAACATATTAGAATCAATATCACCAGCGTCATCATCATCAGCAGTACAAATGTCTTCAACCTGAGACGCAGTATTATGACCAGCAGAAAAAGTACTGCAGTGCTATTGACATCATGACAGAGATCAGCATGGTTAGCATCATTTTCCCAATCGTCAGCATTATCATCAGTTGCTGCAGGAGGATCCACCTGAGTAACATCGGTGTGGGCTCAGTATTATTATATTTTTATGGGTTTAAGACATCACTATGATGGTTCACAGCAGCAACATCAGCGCGATGGTCGACATCATCAGCAGTCACCATGAGCATCAACATTGGCAGCATATTGTGAGTGCATAGTGGCAGCGAGATTGTCGTATTGACGTGAGAGCTCGACTGCTGTGGGTAGCGCCAGTGCTGCTTGGTTTTTTGTGATGTCGTCAGCAACTGAGTGCCGTTGTTAAGCGGCACTAAATCTCTCCGCTGTGTTCGGGCTATCGGCCGGTGCCATGGGGAGGATGGCGGTGGCGTGCTCTGTCGAGAGGCCTCCCCTTACGTTGGGGAGTGCTCATTGTGTTTCAGGAAGGAAGGAAGTTTTTTTTTTGTCGTGGCCACCAGCAGACATTGTCGTTGGCATCTGTGCGCTTGAGAGGGGGCAGCCACTGCCAAAGGCGACAATAAAACTCCATAATAAAAGGTTATTTGGGTTAAATGGCGTAAATATAAATGCGTCGTTTATATTTACGCGATCTAACCAAAAAACACCTTTATTGTGGATAATATTGTTCGGGAAAGCCTACGTGTTAAACCGACAGGAAAATGTATGAATTTGTGACTTGGACATCGTGAAGCCAACCACCGTAGATTTGGCAGACTGGGCCCCAGCGTGAGGACGTGAACCCCCATGGATGGCTCAGGCCCTGAGTGCTGTTGAGCAGGAAGTCACCGAATTTGAAATTCCGTCGCGCCCTCGATAAAGGAACACTTTAGATGCAGTGCTTAATCATTGTAATTCCTACATGCATCTTCTTTTTACGTTTCCACGTCAAGTACAAATTGTCCATCCATAACCTTACGCGAGGTCACCGATGTCACCGAGCGATTGCGCTCGGTGCATGACACGAATGAGTCCGGGTCATGCAAGGCCGAGTGAGCCTGGATGTGCCGGGGTTCACTGCAGGGCACGCGAGGTCAAGGGGCTGGTCCGTGGAATTTCACGGGCAAAGTCCGCCCGTAGGGAGGGAGGGAGGCGTTCGTTGTGGTTGAGGCGGTGGCGAGTGGACTGCGAAAGATGACGGGCAAAGGCTTGTCGTTGAAGGTCGTCAAAATGTGCTCCAAACTGCACTGAAATGAACACCCAATTAAAAAGGCAGGTGGTGGGGTGGGGTGGGCTTGAATAGTGAACACCTTGGAAAGTGGGATGACAGTGAAACATTTGTGTTTGGCAATCTTTGGAACCGTACGTGTATAGTGCACTGCAACTTTACTTTAATGGGGAGCGTATTATCAGGATAAAAATATCTCTGCGTTCATAAGTTGGCAGGGCATTGCTCATGGACGTAAAGAAGTTTGGAGTATAGATGAAACAACAAAAATGCATATGAACATGTAGGCTATCGCGGCCTATATTATTAATACATTTTTTTGGATTAGATCGCGTATGTATCAATGTGTTGTAACCCTCCATCACCCGACACAGCCAATAAGATTTGTAACGTAAACAAATCGCGCCAATTAGTTACTAATTCATTGCACCGGTGTGTTGGAGAGTAAACCCATAAGATTTACAATTCGAGTACGACGTTTCGCTGGTAATTACAACCAGCTTCATCAAGCTATTTCGGTCTTAAATAGAGGGGTTAAGGTGATGTAGTCACTGTAAGTATTCTTTTTACTATTAGGTAAGGCCAACTATATATATATTTTTCAGAAGCAACCAGGCTACACCATGATACCTGAACGAAATGGCTTATAATGTGGAAATTTAAAGCAGCCAAATAATCTGAACGCATGTTTATAAATGTGGAGAGAGTACCCGGAGAAAATACACGCGACCACGGGCAGAACATGCAGTGAAAGATGGCAGCTTCTATCAGGGTGAAACTACGACAAAGACACACACACCGTGCGTGTATCAGCAGGGTGCCGTGGAGGGGAGAGATCTAACCCAATCGTTCTTGAGCCGAAGGTGAGAAGGAAGAAGGGACTTTAGATATCGAGGGAGCCATGGGGAGGCAGCGGAGGAAAATGAGCCACTGTCATGGAAGTGAAGATCCTGAGCCACCTTAGTAGTAGACATCATGGAAGTGAAGATCAGTGAAGATCAGAGCCACCTTAGTAGTAGACAAGCCAATAGCACAGAGGTGCAAAAGAGAGGTAGCAATGAGCAGAGCTGTACATGAAAGTTAGAGATACTTAGTTGCCTGTTGTTACACTTTTATATGTTCCTGTGAATCTCTTTATTATGTAGTCATGTTTATGGATGTATGTATGTTGTATTCTATTAGTGTTTTTTATGTTTGCACGTGCTGTAAGCCATCTCAGTTTAGTTTCCACTTTCATATTTAATATCAACTCGCTGAAATTCGACCGTGCTCTTTGTAGGTTGTTATGGAACTGTTAAATGTCTTGGGTGACCACCTCTGGTGTTTTGACATCACGTTATGGAAGTAAATTGCGGTATTTATGTTAGTTTTTTTTTCCCACTGGCAGATGCCACTGTGTGCCCATATATCTCTCGATAGCCTCCTTAAACGTCAGCTCGGCTGCTCGGGTAAGGGTCTCGTGAACTCAGCCCATCATATTTTCGCACTTTGTGAAACGGGGTACCACTTTGTAGTAAAGAGTCATCAGCGGTTGTACTCGGGAGATGTTTTGCCCTCGCCATGTAAATTATGTCTGCGATTGTGGAATCCCCTTCCTCGGTCCATTAGGGATTCCGAGTCAGTGATTTACAAAGTGATACAGTCTTAAAACGCACCTATTTGTACTGCAATCTTTCCCTGTAACTAAATATTTTAAAACCAATTCTGTTATCTGATTGGTTTAGCCTGCAATTATTATGATTTGCTTTTATCATACTTAATTTTATTGGAATTTCGATAGTGATTGATATTGTTATTATCAGCTTTCTATTTCGCTTAGATTGTATCTTTATTTGTGAGTGTAGTTTTAGTTGCATGTTTCAGCGCTACCCGACGGCAGCAGCCTCCGCCAGTCGCCACGTCAAAGCGCTTGCCACATGAACCGCAATCACCTCGTTGCTGATCGCGTTAAGGAGCATAAACCATCATAACGCAAACTCCTGTCATCCTCGCAGCAGCAGCAGCGGCTTTTGGCTAATCATCAAACAAAGATGGTCACCGCATCGCGTGGTTTCAGATGCACTTCTGCGGCCGTCTGAAGTGCTCTTCCTTCTGATATTAGGAAGCCTCTGGAGGTATGCACGTCTAAATCGTCCTCGAATTGCTTTTTGTGTTTCGTTTGTTGACCTTCCCCTGCACACTCCGATTAGCACGGTTGGCTAAATACGGGCTAAAGAGGTTCAACGTACACTACATACATACTTATATCACCGTGATAACGAGGCGTCTACCTGGTGACATCACTCACCTCTCTCAAGCAGAAAAGTTTTGTCTCGGTGTTGTGCCTCGGTTGTCCATATCTCAAGTAGGTTCCTGCCCAGCAGAGATAATCATGATGATGATCTCTTACCAGGTCA